GGGGGGGGGGCCGCGGGGGAGGGAAGGGGAGGGGGGGAGAAGTTGAGTGGGGAGGAGAACAGGAGAGAACAGGAAGACTGAGACAGGGGAGGAATAGAGGAGGGCAAGAAAGGAGATGCCTTGATAGAGGGAGCCAGTATAGGTTTGGAGAGAGGTCAGTCTGACACAGGGAAAAGTTAGGGCATCCACAGGGATGACCCCAACTAAGAATCTAGGTAGTGGTGGAGAGGCTGCCTTTTATGCCTTTCCCCTATGAGACTGATAACTTGGCTGCCATTCCTAGAGCCATCCAGTAGCTGATCGAAGCAGAAACAGGCACCCACAGCTAAACACTGAGCCATACTCCTGGAATCTAGTTGAGGAGAGTGAGGAAGGATGAGCAAAAGAGCCAAGACGGTGCTGGAGACACCCGCAGAAACAGTTGAATTGACCTAGTGAGAGCACGGAGACCCTAGTTGTAAAGCTGGGGAACCAGCATTGGACCGAAACAAGCTCTCTGAATGCGGGTGCCAGCTAGGAGGCCAAGGCAGTCTATGGGACCTCTAACAGTGGAGCCAGTGTTTATCCCTAGAGCACAAATTGACTTTGGGAGCCCATTCCCTATGGAGGGATACTATTGCAGCCCAGATACAAGAAAGAGAGCCTAGGTCCTCCCCCAAATGATGTGAGGGACTTTGATGGTCCCCTATGGAGGGCCTCACTATCCTTGGGGAATGGGTGGGGAGTGAGTGAGTTGGGGGCATTGGTGGGGAGCATGGGAGGGCGAGGGAATGGGGGGATTGATTGTAAACAAGAGTGCTTCTAAAATAAAAAAAAAATAGAAATCCACCTGCCTCTGCTTCTGAGTGCTGGGATTAAAGGTGTTGTGTCATCACCGCCTGGCTAATACTGTTGATTCTTGAAAACAAAATGATCACACACACAAACTATATACCTGACTAAGCAGAAGAAAACTGTATCTTTGTGGCTGCAGGAATTCTTTGTAGTTGACTTGTAGAATTTGTGACTTCTGTGAGCATTCTGTAAATAATTTATACCCTGAGAGCACTGCACAACCACAGTAATAGCACCTCAGGCACTGGGTGATATTAAGCACTTTAATAATTCATTGCTTATCACAGCTGCTTCCCTGTAGCATAAGTGGGAGGGGAATGATGGGGGAGGTCCTTCTGTGTATATGTTTGTCTTATTGGTTGATAAATAAAGCACTGTTGGCCAATAGGGAAGCAAGATAGGCAGGGCTAGGAGAGAAGGAGGATTCTGGGAAAGGTAGTACAGAGAAGTCGCCATGTGATCCCGGAAAGAGAGGACACATGCTGTTGGCATCTTTGATAAGGTAAGTCTTTATAAAATATATAGATTAGTAGTTATGGTTGATAATTAAGACTGAGCTAGCAAATAGGAAATCCTAGTCATTGGCCAGCAGCATTGTAATATTAAACTCTGTGTTATTTGGATGGCGGTGGAAACTCAGGCGGCTGGTGGAAAGAGTTATCGTTACAGGGAATCTACAACTTGTAGTGATAAAGCCTTCATTGAGATGTTTACACATCAGTTATCCATTAACACTCATATTTGTAGTGTTAGAAAATACAGGAAAGGTTACTGATTGCTATGTATATTTTGGGAATAGTTGAAGGGACTAGTTGGAACTTTGATTTTAATCATAGCAGTGCCAGTGATATCTTACTAAACCCTAAATCTTCTGGTAGTTCATTTATTATTACGTGTGTGTATGTAGTATGCATGTCATGTTTGCATATGTGTGGGCATATGTATCTGTGTAGGTGTGGGTTCACCTGTGTGCACATGAGTGAGGAGGTTCAAGGTTGGTGTTGGAAATGTTCCTTTGAGCAGGGGTCCCTCAACTGAACCTAGAGCTCATCAAACCTATTATTCTATCTGGCCAGGTTGCTCTTGGGATCCTGTTTTTGCCTTCTAAGTGCTAGAATCATAGGTGGGCTTTCAGGTCCACATGGCATTCATTTGTGGGTATTGGGGATCCAAACCCTCGTTTTTTTTTTTGTTTTTTTTTGTTTGTTTTGTTTTGTTTTGCTTGCATGACAAGTATCTTATCTCCTGAGTATAGTTCTTGCACTCCTCCCTAAGAGTTACCCATGGATTCATTCAGCGTTAATACAGACAGTCCTTGATCAAATAATTTCCTTTTTCTTCTGGTTTTTGGAGACAGGGTTTCCCTGTGTAGCCCTGGCTGTCATGGAATTTTCTCTGTAGACCAGGTTGGCCTTGAACTCAGAGATCTGCCTGCCTTTCCCTCCTGAGTGCTGGGTTTAAAGGCCTGTGCCACCACTGCCTAGCCCAAATAATTTCTTTTAAATAAAATACTTTAAAAGGTAGTTCTATGGAGCTGGAGAAATGGCTCAGTGGTTAAGAGCGCTGGCTGTTCTTCCAGAGGACTCTCGTTCAATTCCCAGCACCCACATGGCAGCTCACAGCTTTCTGACTCCAGTTACAGAGATTTAGATACCATCACACAGACATGTGCAGGCAAAACACCAGTGCATACAAAATGAAAATAAATCATTAAAAAAAGATCTATAGCCAGGCATTGGTGGCACACGCCTTAAATCCCAGCACTCGGGAGGCAGAAGCAGGTGGATCTCTGTGAGTTCGAGACCAGCCTGGTCTACAAGAGCTAGTTCCAGGACAGTTTCCAAAGCCACAGAGAAACCCTGTCTTGAAAAAAAAAAAATCTATGTCAGTACTATCAATTAAAAGAAACAATAACAATGCTTCGTTTTGTCACAGTGTAAACTAAGCTCTTAAAGTGGCCAGGAATTACAGATGAGCAGGCATGAATCTAGCTGAGAACAAATCATTCAAACCTTCATGTACTTTCCAACTGCCTGTGGCAGCACAGTGAGATAAATTGATCTCTAGTATTTCTCCAGTGTATCCCTTTTACTGGCCATAATGTAACATACAGTAGGTTTCTTGGTCAAACAGCTTATGTTTGACTAGCTGACTAGATTCCACTTTAACATTGTAAAGACCATAGGAATCATCCAGGTAAATTAAAAAAAAAAAAACTGTTTAAAAGTTTAAACTCATGGTGAACTTTAGTGAAATTTCTACTCTGATATACTACTTGTTTGAGATGGGATGGAATTTGAATAAATAGCTTCTCTACTTTTAGTTGTGTGACTTTGGATTGATAATCTATTAGTTTGTATGCTTGTTTTATATATCAGCAAAGTGAGGATTGTAAATATATTTGCCTTGTAGTTATGTGCTAATTTAGCTAGTAGTACGAAGAAGACTATCTGCCACTTGATAAATATAAAGCCAGAACTGCCAGCATTGTCGACGTAATTTGAATGAGAAGCACCTTTTAGGAAGAACATATTCACTGAAGGATGTGATCAGTCTTGTTTGTTTGCTTTTTGAGACCGGGAGACTTTCTGTCCTTTTATAGTTTTATTTACTTATTTATTTGTGTGTTTATTTTTTTTGGCAGGGTCTATTGTAGGACTTCCAATATTCCCATTTTAGTTTTGTACTTCCTCCCTCCCTTGGGCACACTAGGAAGTGTTTAGGTCTTGGTCCCTCTACTGCTGATGTATATTCCCAGCCCTGTTTTGTTTTATTTTTGTCTAACGTCCAGCTTCCACCACTAAGCTAAGTTTATTTGTCCTCTTTCAGGGATTTGAGTCATAATCGGTTGTCTATCTGGAACATCAGCTTGGAATCACAAACATTACAAGAAGTGTAAGTTATTTTTATTCATTCAATATTAAAGTCTTTGAATAATAACATAATTATGAATTTGGATATTTTTGGTGTGTATTTGTGTGTATGTGTATGTATGTATGTACCTGTCTATTGTATGTACTTGTGGAGTCCAGAGATGAACATAGGTGTCTTCCTGAATTGCTTGTCTACCTTATTTATTTAAAATAATGTTTTTATTTATCCTTTGAGAAGTTCATATATTTTGATCATATTCTTTCCCTTCCCCCAAGCCCTCCCAGATCCTCATACATCTCCCTATCCACCCAACTGCATATTCTCTCTATATATTCTTATTGTTTTTGATTTTGTTTTTCTTTTAAGATTGGGCTTCTCTGTATAACCCTGGCTGTCCTGAAATTCACTCTGTAGTCCAGTCTGGTCTTGAACTCAGAGATCTGCCTGCCTCTGCCTCCTGAGTGTTGGGATTAAAGGTATGCAGCCACCAATGCCCAGCGATTTTTGTTTTTGTTTTTTTTGAACCAGTGTCTCACTGTTTAGCGCTGGCTAGCCTGGAACTCACTTTGTAGATTAGGCTGGCCTTGAACTCAGAAAATCTACTTGCCTCTGCCTCCAAGCCCAGTGTTCTTTCTCTTTCTTAAAAAACAAAAAACTAAACAAGTAAAATCCCTAAACAAACATGGAGTCTAATTTGTGTTGGCAAGCTATTCCTGAACATGGAAACTTCCCTTCATGTGGTTGATACACTCAGTATGACTTCATTGAAGAAAATGGATTCCCTCTCCCAGCGGTTACCAATTGTAAATAACTTTTTGTCTTGGAGTTGGACTTTGTGTTTACTTCCCCTTGGGGTTTTGTCTGGCTTGAGCTTGTGCATGTCTCATGCATGCCTTTGCAGTTTCTGTGACTTCATGTGTGCATTTGCCCTGTTGTGTCTAAGAAGACAGCTGTTTCCTTGACGTCGTCCCCTACCTCTGGCTCTTAGGATCTTTCTGCCCCTTCTTTCTCATACATCCCTGAACCTTGATGCAGGGGTGGGGGTGGGGGGATATGATACAGATATCCCATTTAGGGTTGAGCATTCCAAAGTCTCTTACTCGCCACACATTGATCAGTTAATTACCATCTACTTTACAGAGAAGCTTCTCTGATAAGGGTTCAGAGACACATTGATCTATGGGTATAGCAGTACCTTAAGAGTTGCTTTATTGATATATTCATTTAGCAGAATAATAGTAGTAGATTTCCCCCTAGGACCTGTGACCATCTAGCCTCAAGTTCTTGGTCTCATTGTACCTTAGTTTTTGAGGCAGCATCTCTCAACCTGGACCTCACTGATTCAGCTAGATTGGCTGGTCATTCATCACCAGGGATCTGCCTAGTTCTACTTCTCCGATCTCAGTAGTGGGTGTACAGATGAGTACTACTCTATTCAGCTTTACATTGGTGTTACGATAAATCTTTCCACCAAAAGCTGCCTGAGCCCCACCACCGCCACGTGTGAGCTTTACGCCAGCCACCCACCCACCTGAGTTAGGGCTCAAATGAATACATAGAAACTTGTATTAGGTTCAGTGCTGCTTGGCCAATGACTAGGATTCTCATCTGTTAGCTTAGTCTTAATTATCATAAATCTATATATTTTATAAGACTTATCTTATTGGACGCCTTATTGGCATCCCTCCTTGTCGGTGGATCACATTGTGCTGCGGGAGCAGGAGCGGAGGGGAAAAGAGAGGCATACTTCCTGTTTCCTTGCTTAGATATGAGTCTCCTTGTCATGTCACTTCCTTCCTGGATCATCACTTCTCTACTACATTTCCTAGAATCCTGTTTGACTCCTAGTCCTTGCTTGCTATTGGCCAAACAGTATTTTATTCAACAATCAATAAGATAAACATATAAAGAAGTACATTCCCCATCATCTCCTCTTTACTGTCTAAATAAAAAGAAGGGTAACTTTTCTTTTATAATAACTGAAGAAACCTATAACCATAACTGTCTTTAACTCTATCAAATCTAATAAAGACCACAGAAGGATAATATATAAACTCTAGAATTGACAGAGACATCTCGCTACATGGACAGTCACCCAAAGTTCCTGTGTAACGTTGGGGCATCCATCTTTAGCCCATAGGCCACAGTGTGTCTGGCACACTTCTCCATTTCAACAGGAACCCTTCAGTACAGTCTTGTTTTGTAAGTTCAGTAGTCAATTTCTTGTGGGTCCTGCATGTCTAGTTTATACAGCAACAAACAGTTTAGGCAAGAGCAGTTTCTTGCCCCAATGGCTAATCTTGCCATGTTGAAAGCAAACTCCATAACGAGTTTCTTCGATGCCCATCCTCCTTTCTGACGAAATTGGTGTGCCAGGAGCAGTTGTGTCTCATTACCAAGAAAAACCCTAAACCATTTAAATGTCATATTTCTGTAGGTCTTTGAAAGGTTTGAAGAATACCTAACCATCTCAAATACATCTCTATATCTAGAAAACCTACCTAACCTAATTATAAGTTCTGACTATTATAGGCAAAAGATCTCTATAAACACAATACCTAAACAAGAGGAGACACAAACATATCACAAAATTGACCTTAAAGTTGTATAAATAAATGAATCAATGTAAAGTATTCATTTCTATATCCTATTCCCCTTTTTTTCCTTTAAAAAAATTGACTATGCTCATTCTCATTTATAACAAACCCCATTTAAATGTAAACAAACATTTATAAACAATATTTGGGAATATGGGCGTTGTTCTTTCTAAATTGCTTCCTGCTGACTTGGGGCGATGTTCATACCATTGGGATCATGATAAAATATAGAAACCTGACCAAGTCCTTGTTTTTGTAGTCTATAAGGCTGTATCATCTCAGCTTTAGGGGGTCTTGCTTGATCAAACCATATTAATCTGGAAGGAATCCACAGCTTTTGATTTTCTGTGGAAATACAAGTAAAACCTTTATTTCTAAGTAGCCTGTCCTTAGACTTAAATTTTGAAGTCAAAGCATTTTTAAAATGTATAAGTTGGATTAATTTAGCAGCATTTATAATCAAATGTATTTTAGCAGCAGTAATTCTTTTCTCAACAATCAAACAATTTAAAGGCAACAGTGTGGTATTTAGTATCCAGATTCTCTGTATATTTTTCATCTCTAGGTGGCTTTTTTACTATTCTACTTTTACTTCCTTTTGTTTCTTTTTTTTTTCTGAGAGAGGGTTTCTCTGTGGAAATCTGCCTGTCTTTGCTTCCTTCAAGCAAATCCTACCGGTGTTGGCCACCATAACCGGCTACTCTATTTCTTCCTGTTACTTTTTCTCTCACAAGCCTACATATATTTTTAAATGTAGTGTAAACCTTTAGAGGTTTTTCTTTATCTGGATCTGTCTTTATCATCTCAGAAGTGCCGAGTTTAAACTCCAGAAGCGCCTGGATGGCGCGAGCATATGGAAGCTGCTCCGGTGCCTCTCATTGGCCTTGACAGGGCAGGCTGTGGCGGCAGGTTTCCCTCTTTCTCTGGGAATCTTGGGGCGTGGGGGTCATCCTACTTCTGACACCATCCTGTTACGATAAATCTTTCCGCCAAAAGCTGTCTGAGCCCCACTGCCACGTGTGAGCTTTACGCCAGCCGCCCACCTGAGTTAGGGCCCAAATGAATACACAGAAACTTGTATTAGGTTCAATGCTGCTTGGCCAATGACTAGGATTCTCATCTGTTAGCTCAGTATCAATTATCATACATCATATATTTTATACTCCTTGTCGGTGGATCACATTGTGCTGCTGGAGCAGGAGCGGAGGGGAAAAGAGAGGCATACTTCCTGTTTCCTTGCTTAGATATGAGTCTCCTTGCACAACTCCAAGGCTAGCCTACACAGTACATTCTAGACCAGTCTAAGCTACATAGAAAGATTCCATCGTTTTAGAACGGCTTCCTTCCTGGATCATCACTTCTCTACTACATTTCCCAGAATCCTGTTTGACTCCTAGTCCTTGCTTGCTATTTATTGGCTAAACATTATTTTATTCAACAATCAATAAGATAAACATATAAAGAAGTACATTCCCCATCACATTGGTACTGGGGATCTAAACTTGGTCCTTATGTTTGGATAGCAAGCACTTTACTGCCTGGACCATTTCTTCAGCCTGAATTTGGGAACATTTACTCTAGAGATGCTGTGAAAAGAATTGAAGGAAGGGCTGGAGAGCTGTCTCAGTGGTTAAGAGCACCTGCTTGCTCTTCCAGAGGACCTGAGTTCCATTCCCAACAACCATGTGAAACAGTTCACAGCTACCCTACTGTCCTGCCACTGAGCTACATCCCTCCCTCCCTCATTTATTTTTTTATAGCATTCCTTTAAAATTCCTCCCAACAGTTTTTTTTTTTTAAGATTTTATTTATTTATTATGTATACAGTCTTCTGCCTGCATGCCAGCAGAGGGAACCAGATCTCATTCAAGGTGGTTGTGAGCCACTATGTGGTTGTTGGGAATTGAACTCAGGACCTCTGGAAGAACAGTCAGTGCTCTTAACCGCTGGGCCATCTCTCCAGCTCCCCCTCCCTCCTTTTTAAACATTTTAAAAATTAAAATATAATTACATTACTCTTAACCCCCTTTAAAAAACAGTGTTATTATTTTATGTGTATGGCTATTTTGCCTGCATGTTTGTTTGTATACTACATGTATGCAGGGTCCATAGAGACCAGAACAGAAAGTCAGATACCCTGGGACTGGAGTTTGAGACAGTTGTGAGCTGCTATATGGGTGCTGGGAATCAAACCTGGATCTTAGAAGAGCACCCAGTGCTATTAACAATGGAACCATCTCTTCAGCCCCTCAAGCCGTTCTAAAACGATGGAATCTTTCTATGTAGCTTAGACTGGTCTAGAATGTACTGTGTAGGCTAGCCTTGGAGTTGTGCAACCTATATCTGTCTTCTAAGGTCTGAGATTGCTGGCATGTGCCATTATATCTGGCACAAGCCTGTGTATTACTGACTTTTGTTGTTGGTATTAGTTTTTGCGACAGGGTCTTTCCATTACAGTCCAGGCTGGTTTTGAACTTACATTCTACTTCCTGTTCCTCTCAAGTAATGGGATTACAGGTGTGCTAAAACCACATCTAGCATTTAATACTGATGCTAATGGTAGATCACTATGAAGTAACACATTAAAATTTCTGATTTCTCAGAGTGGAGAGATGGCTCAGTGGTTAAGCATACATACTGCTGTTATAGAGGACCTGAGTTTGGTTTCCATCATTCTCATTTGGGTGACTTAGTACTGCCTGTAACTCAAGCTTCAGGGGACCGATGCCACTGCACTTAATGTGTACAACCCTCCTCTTCTCACATAATTAGAAATAATAATCTTATAAAAAGAAAAAATTCTAATTTCTCAAAAAACACAGTTTTATATTAGTCTAACTTATTCTGTGTCATCGGCCTTTTCAAATTTGGGCACACAACATATAAGTCAAAACCAGAATTCAGGAGGTAATTTCTACCATTAAACTTTCAAAACTGTTTTTTCTTTTGCTTAGGAAAATGAATTACAATGAGCTAACAGAGATCCCATATTTTGGAGAACCAACACCTAATATTACTCTACTTTCATTGTAAGTAAGACTTCAGATTTTGTATTTAATTATGAGTCTCTGTGTGTGTGTGTGTCTCTCTGTGTGTGTGTGTGTATGTGTGTGTTTGTAGAAATCTGTGTGTGTGTGTGTAGAAATCCGTGTGTGTATGTGTGTGTGTAGAAATCCGTGTGTGTGTGTGTGTGTGTGTGTGTGTGTGTGTGTGTGTGTGTGTGTGTTTGTTTGTAGAAATCCGTGTTTTGGAGAACCAACACCTGCTATCACTGTAATATAACAGTACCCGTTGTTGTTTGTTTTTCAAGTACCCATAATGTTTATCCTAATTATTTAGTATCTTTGTGGCAATAACTTCAGTATAATCCTTGTTTTGCAGAGTCCATAATTTAATACCAGAAATAAATGCAGAAGCATTGCAACTTTACTCTGCTCTCGAGAGTTTAGACCTCAGTTCTAATATAATATCAGAAATCAAGACATCTTCATTTCCTCAAATGTCACTGAAATACCTGTAAGTAAAATAGAGACCTAGATTTACTGAATTGATTGGAAGAATAGTTTATTGAGTAAACTGCAAGGAAACAGAGGGCTGGACATTAACTGGTGTACTGCCTGCTTTCAGGGTTTACTTTAAAGTACATTTCTGTTATTCATTGGTTAACTGCATTCCTTCAAATGTCTGTGTTTATTTAATTTTGATAGCCATGTGTAAAACAAGCTTAGTTTGGAGCTTTTGGAGTTATTTATTCTTCTACTTCACTCGAAGAGAAAGTATTCTTTTTCCAGAAAAAAAAAATTTCTAGACCTTGAGAGCGAAGTCCGAGTTTTTAACATTAATTTGTTTGTTATTGTGTTTAGGGTGATGTAATACACATATCCTACAGTGACAGTGTGGAGGTCAGAGGACAACTTTGTGGAATTGTTTTTTTCTTTTCTTCTCTCTCTGTCTGTCTGTTTGTCTCCCTCTCTCTGTCTCTTTCTCTCATTGTTTGAGACAGGGTTTCTCTGGGTAGTCCCTATTGTCTGGAACTCTATGGCTGTCCATGAACTCAGAAATCTGCCTGCCTCTGTCTCCCTAGTGCTGGGATTATAGACATGTATCACTAGTGCTTAGTGTGTTCTAGGTATGGATTTCAGGTTGTTAGACTTGTTTGGCAAGTATTTCCTAGGCCATCCTGTCAGCCCAAGATTAGTTTGAGAGTTTTTCATTTTGGTACTGGGAATCTTGTCATGCTTGGCAGTTGCTGTCCCATGAGCCACACCTCCAGTCCTAACCAGCAATTTTGTAAAAAGTAAATAGGAATGATTTGTTACTATGTGTTAAACAGTAGCTTGCCCTGGGTAATAATGGTGATAGCATTGTCAGTTTCTAAATTGCACACTTCTTTGTAACATCCTAAATGAAGTGGAACCAGTACTTTTCCCTGTTTGTTTTTTTTTTTTTCTTTTTTAGATTTTATTTGTTTTTATTATGTATACAGTCTTTTGCCCGAATGCCAGCAGAGGTTACCAGATCTCATTCAAGGTGGTTGTGAGCCACCATGTGGTTGCTGGGAATTGAACTCAGGACCTCTGGAAGAGCAGTCAGTGCTCTTAACCGCTGAGCCATCTCTCCAGCCTCTCCCTGTTTGTTTTGAGACAGGGTTTTGCAGTGTATTCCTAGCTGGCCTGGAACTTACCATGTAAACCAGGATGGCCTCAAACTCATAGAGATCCATCTGCCTCTATATTATAAGTGCTGGGATTAAGGGTATGCACCATCATGTCCTGCCTTCCCCTTGTTTTTCAGTGCTAGACTTCAATCCCCCAGGACCTTGCCATATGCATTCCATCACTGAGCTATACTTCCTGCCCTAACATAATTAACTTTATAGGTGAAGGGAGAAAGCAGTTAAATGATTTGTGAACTAAAATAGCAGTTAAGGGTCTGAGGAAATTGCTCAGTGGGGTACAAGTGCTTGACTCTGTAAGCACAGGGACCTGAGTTTAAATCCCAAACACCCATATGAAAATAGGGGCATGGCTGTGTGTGCCTGTAATTCCACCATTGAGGATAGTGAGAGGCAGATCCTGAGAGTTCGATGGCCGGCCAGCCTAGCCAAAATGATGGACTCCTGGTTCCATGAGAGACTGAGCTTCTGGTTCCATGAGAGACCTGTCTCGAGATAATAAGTCAGAAAATGATAGAGATAGATCTCTCTTCCCCCATCCTGCTCCCACTGTTCATACTCAACCTGAATAACACATACACATGCCCACACAAAATATTAGTTAAGATTCTTTTTGGGTTCTTAGGCATGATGATTGGGTATTCATGCCTTTGTGTGATATATGCCTGTCATGACCTTGTTGCAACCTTGGCATAGGACTTTTGTCTGACATGAAAAAAAAAATAGCCTGATTTTGGGGCATGCATGGGGGGGGCAATCAGCTTCTGGGAGCTGGGGAGATAGCAGTTAAATGATAAATGATATGTCAAAATGTGTATAGTTAAGTGATGGAATTGGAGCCAGAGTTACAGACCTTGGCTAGTTACCACTGTTTCTTTTCTTTTGCTGCTACCTTGTCATTTTAGGAATTTGAGTAATAATAGGATAACCACTTTGGAGGCTGGCTGCTTTGACAACTTATCAGGTTCTTTATTAGTGGTAAAATTAAACCGGAACCGAATTAGTATGATTCCACCTAAAGTCTTCAAGCTGCCTCATCTCCAATTCTTGTGAGTAACAAAATTGATAGATTAGAAGAGATAAGTTTTCCTTTATTGTTAGAGTAACTCAGCCAATTTTCTAACTGTAAATTTTTTTGTTAAAGGGAACTAAAAAGGAACAGGATTAAAATTGTAGAAGGTCTTACCTTCCAAGGGCTTGATTCCTTACGCTCATTGAAAATGCAACGGAATGGAATTAGCAAACTCAAAGATGGAGCATTTTTTGGGTTGAATAATATGGAAGAATTGTAAGTACTGGGATGGGGAGAGTTGGGAGGACTCGTTCTAGGCTTTTAATGCCAAATAACTAGAGTAGTTGCTTAGTTAACAGAGATACTTGGTTTTTCTGATGTGAGGTAAAATTGCACTTTCTTCTCCCTGTCTCTTCCTCCCATCCAAGATTGAACCCAGGGCCTTACACATGCTATACCCCTTGCTTTCATACAGACTTTTAGGTGTTTGGTTTTTCTTTTCTTTTTTTAGTTAACTGGTATTTTTGTTATCATTCTTAAGCTTTTCAATATAAAAATAAATTATATTATTTTGACTCAAAATTAGCAGAATTTATCTGAACCAGGAATCCTGCACTACTTGTGTTGGCTTTATAGGTTCTTAGTCCTTTTAGGGCTAGATCCTAAGTTTCTTGGGTCACTAGAGTTCAGCAAAGGTATCTGTATGTCAAAGCATTTAATGGAGATTTAAAATCTTGGTGTTGAATGCCTTATTTTGAGTTACTCACTTCTCTCTACAATTGTACAGAGAACTGGAACATAATAACCTTACAGGAGTGAACAAGGGGTGGCTGTATGGCTTGCGAATGTTACAGCAACTGTATATGAGCCAGAATGCTATTGAAAGAATTAGCCCAGATGCATGGGAGTTCTGCCAGAGACTGTCTGAACTGTAAGTACTGAGTGCTGGTTTATGGGAAGGTGTGAGACTAGAGCAGATTGGAGAAATTATGCTTATTGTAGTCATGAGATCTAGCATTGCTATTTCCCCAGGCTTTGTTAGAAACACTAAACTTAGCATGTCAGTGGAGTAATATTTGTAGGTTGGGCTAAATACAGTAATTTTTGACTTTCATTGTTTCTTGTTTTTTTTAGGGATTTGTCCTATAACCAGCTGACCCGCCTTGATGAATCTGCCTTTGTGGGTTTGAGTTTACTGGAGAGATTGAATTTAGGGGATAATAGAGTCACTCATATTGCTGATGGTGTATTTAGGTTTCTTTCCAATCTTCAGACACTGTAAGTTGTTTTTTTTTTTTTTTCTTTGTTTTTTAAAATCTGTTTTAGAATTAAACTAAGCAAATGAATGAAAATAATCAATATAAAAACGGATATATGCTAGTATTTTGTGCTTCTTTTGTTCTCTATCCCATAAATAAATCTTATGGCAGTTTATACTTTAATCTGAGTTAATCTCATGACAGCAAAGCCTCTCCATGTCAGTTGGCAGTGTTAGAATGCATTCGTCTCTTTGTTCTCCTGATGGGTAGTATACCAGAACTCCTAGCTTTGTCTAGAAGGAGATACGTGTATAGTGGTAGCAATCTGTTCACTGGTAGTAGTTTGTGATTTTTGGGTCTTTGGGGGAAGTACTCTGGATTAAAACTTAAGAACACTAGGCCAATACCTTACCACTGAGCTACATCTTCATTCTTTGCCTCAAAGATACTAACTTCTTTTATCTTTTTGGTTTTTGGAGACAAGATCTCAATGGGTAGCTTAGGTTGGACTTGAACTCTTAGCTGTGCTTTCCGGGTGCATGGATTATAGGCATGTACTATCATGCCTGGCTAAATGGTGTGTGTATGTGTGTGTGAAGTGCTTGTACATGGGATGCTGCTGCTGTTATTGATTATTGGCCTTGTTCAGTGGAGCACCTCCTAGCATACATAAGGCTGAAAATCAATAGTAGCACCACTGATGAATTTCATTAAGATTGGTTATAGGAGTCAGGCTCAGGTACCAGTGGCCATGAGACTGAAGGAAGTGTCTCTTCCCTCCCCCATCAACCATTAACTATGTGTAAATTCTCAGTGAGGTGTGGGGCCTTGTGAGTCCCTTCTTCCTCTATTCCAGGATGTTGATGGGCCTTATCTTTTTCTTTATGAAATTTATTTTCTTATGGGCAGACTGCCTTCACTTTATTGCACTAGTAGCACATCTGTAATACCAAAGTACAGGATAAGTCTTAATAAGAGGTTTGTGTCTTCAATGTAACACTTGTCCACCAAGTACTGTAGAAGAGGATGAGGGAAAAACCAGGATCTGCTCAGGAGGCCAAGAGTTGGGTGGAGTGAAGTATGGGACAGCAATAACCCTTCTGACAAATGGTTTCCTATCAGGAAATGGGCCTCATCTTATATAGGTAATCACAGCTTCTGGGAGTTTAAGATTGTTATGCTATGTCATGCCTGGAGGACAGTGCTCTACAACATTCTGCCCCTTCTTCCTGCTCTTGTATTCCTTTTACTCCCTCTTCCATGATAGTCTCTCAGTCTTGGGGGTGTGTGTGTGTCTGTGTGTGTGTCTGTGTGTTCTCCCATTTACGGCTGAGTATTTTTCTTTTTTTAAAGATTTATTTATTATGTACACAGTGTTCTGCCTGCATATATGCCTGTACGCCAGAAGAGGGCGCCAGATCCCATTCTAGATGGTTGTAAGCCACCATGTGGTTGCTGGGAATTGAACTCAGGACCACTGGAAAAGCAGTCAATGCTCTTAACCTCTGAGACATCTTTCCAGCCACTATGACTGAGTATTAAATACTCTTGTTCTCTTTGACCAGTAATGATTCTCTTCAGTTAATTGCTGGCCCACTCCACAAAGAAGCTTCTCTGACCAAAGCTGTCAGCAGCACTAATCTATAGTCATAATCAATTATGTAGAAGTCAAATGTTGGGCACATCATGCTCATTAGGAAAATAACAGCAGTTGCTTCTCCACTAGGGCCCATGCCTTCCCTAGCATGGTCTTTTGACCATGTTTATGGAGCAGGCCTCAGATCTAATCACAAAGTGGTTGGATAACAGACTTATTGATATGAATATCAGTTGGTATATCTTTTTTTTTGGTTTTCCGAGACAGGGTTTCTCTGTGGCTTTGGAGGCTGTCCTGGAACTAGCTCTTGTAGACCAGGCTGGTCTCGAACTCACAGAGATCCGCCTGTCTCTGCCTCCCGAGTGCTGGGATTAAAGGTATGTGCCACCAACGCCCGACCAGTCTTGCATGTCAGTAGTGTTGCATACAGGATCCACAGCTGAGTAAGACTGTTGGTAACAATGTTTCCCCTGCACTGTGAGGCTAGCCGGTAGGAAGGAAGCTTTCAGCCTAGTCTACTTTGTTTTCTCTGTTCTGAGACCAAAACATGTGGTGCCTTCAGCAGTTATGTCTTACCATCTAATTCTGGTGGGCAACCAACAACAGTAGCAATTGCCTGTGTTGTTTTGAGGGCCTTTGGGCCCTTTCTGTCTAATAACTTCTCTCTTAAACTCCACTCTGGCCCTGAAGTTCTCATTTAACAGCGTATGACTTCTGATAGCAGCTTTATTCTCTCATGCATGCTACCTCCCATTAAAACTGTTACTTTTGTATCTCATGGATTCTATCCCTTCCCCCTAAAAATTACTTTATACATTAGATCCCACTGTAGTTGGCTGTGATCCACCACGTCATGGTTGCTGGGAATTGAACTCAGGACCTCTAAGAAAGAACAGTTAGTGCTCTTAACCCAGTGAGCCGTCTCTCCCCATTTGTCTTCCCCCCCCCCTTTCCTTTCCTTTCCTTTCCTTTTTCCTTTTTCCTTTTTCCTTTTTCCTTTCCTTTCCTTTCCTTTCCTTTCTTTTCCTTTCCTTTCCTTTCCGTCCTCTTCTTCTCTTCTTTTCTTCGGTCTCTTGAGACAAGGTACTGCTGTGTTACCCAGGCTGGCTTTTAATTTTCCATCTTTCTGTCTTAGTTTCTTAAGTCCTAGGATAATAGGCATGAGCCACCATGCCTCTTTCGGTGAATAATTTCCATTATTTTCTGCTGTGGAGGAGGGGGAATGTCCTAAAGAATTGATAATAAAATGAGCTATGTTAGCATTTTACTTGAAGAAGGCTAAGCAAGAAGAAGTCTCTCTTGGCATCTATACTACTATATATGGTTATATAAATCAGAAAGCATATGCCTTATTTAGTATAAGATGGCTTTAGGAAACAAAAGTGATGAACTATCTTTAACTGATATTTTATTAGCACATGATGTATACAATTGTACTTCCTCTGAGAATGGAGTAGTGGGTTTTGAAAGAGCATACTTTTCAAGAAAACACAGTGACCATTCTAGCATGTGGATATTTTTGCTTCCCAAGGGGAATGTTAGATTGCTCTTGAGCTGTGAAATTCTGTGTTTGTATTGCTCTTTGAGCTATTTTAAGTTTAAGGGCCCAGAAGAAAGCTTGGAATACCCAGAAATCCCATGAGTCTAAAAGTATATTTGTAATCTTTATCTTGAAACCCTCCTTTTTGTAGGACTCCATCTACAATTTTTAATAGGCTAGTACAATTAGATGTGGTTAACTAGGGAGATTAGTAATTTTAGCAGGTTGCTTGGCTTATTTATTACTCATTTAATTGTTTTTATTTATTTGTTTTTGAGGCAGGGTTTCTCTATGAAGTTCTGGCTGTCCTGGAACTCACTATATAAACCAGGCTGATTTGAACTCACAGAGATCCTCCTGGCTCTGCTTCCTGAGTACTGGGACTAAAGGCATGTGCCACCACACCTGCTTAATTTATGAATTTTTTCTGTGCTTATCATAAATATTCCTTTAAAAATCAGGACTGAGTCTTCATCATAAATGACGGTTAGAATAAGGATCAAAATTAGCATGTGTCCTTTTATGTTGCCATACCAGGATGCTGCCTAGTGGTATATTGGCTAACAACTTTTTCTTCCTGACACTTTCAGAGATTTGAGAAACAATGAAATTTCATGGGCCATAGAAGATTCTAGTGAAGCCTTTGCTGGACTCAAAAGTCTCACTAAATTGTATGTATCTGTGATGTTTGTGTTTATCTAATAGATGTCTTTTTAAGGAACAGTTGTAAATGTTATTGGATAATGTTTATTTTATATGGCTAGAAATTCTGAGCTTTCCTATCATCTCCTAAAAGAGGGAGCTTTGCTTGTTTGTCAAATAGTCTGTTTTTAGGTACTATTTATTTATAAAGTATTCCTGTGGAAATTTATTTTTTTTATTTAATTGCTTTTAGGTTAGCATTGTAAGGGATAGGTTTCATCACTGCATCATCATACATATGTTTCATTATTTTTTGTTCTCATTCATCCCCCTCCCCTACTGTCCTCTTCCTACCTCCTCCCTGCTTGAGTTGGTCCCTTTTTACATCCGGGTAGTTCCTTCTGCTTTCTTACGACTTATGCACCACTCTCTATTGTCCACCTCCATTAAGATCTCTTCCTTTCTTCTCATGATCCCTTTTCTAGTTTCATGATCTACAAACACATACATGTATGTAATTCTAAATCTAGGTTCTGTGTATGAGAGAAAATGTTTGGTGGTATCCATTTTCCTGCAAATTCTGTAACTTCATTTTTATTTATGGCTGCAAAAAATTCTGTTGTATGTGCTACTTTTTCTTTATCCATATTTTAGTGGATTCCTAGGCTATGGCATATTGACCTAGAGTCTTTCAGGTATATATTTACCAGTAGCTTGCCAGTAGCTTAGCTGGGCCATCTGGTAGTTCTGTTTTCAGTTTTTGGAGGAACCCCATAGTGATTTCTATAGTGACTACAAGTTTACGTTCTCAATCCTGTAGGATTTAAATAAGTTACAGAATAGAGTTTTCCATTTAAGTAAGAGAAATGGTTTGAGAAAATATAGTTGAGCTGGTAGCATGTTTAATTATGTGAGAATAAGTCCTATAATAGGAGAAAATATTCTCACAGGAAGCATTTTATGTCTCGTATGAGAAGGATTTCTCCAAAGATTTATACTTGTCTGAATGTCGTTAACCTGACCATCTTTTATTAAGGAGAGAAATGTGGAATCTAACCTCATGTAGCATTGTCAAATTACCAGTATTTTAGTGGTTAGGATGACTGTTAAGAGGCATTCAGAGGAGCTCTGAAACCTCGACAGAAGCTTTCGTGTTGTACTTTGCCTTAATTAGTAAGTTCATAATTTTCTTAAAAATGTTTGCTTTCATTAAGCTACAATTCAGTGTGTATATTTTTTTCTCTCAGTTGTGTCTCAGTAAAACCATTAAAGGGGATAAAGAGATAGCTCAGGGTTTAAGAATGCGTTCTGCTCTTTCAGAGGGCCTGAGTTTGGTTCTCAGCACCCATAGTAGGTGGCTTATAACCACCTGTAACTTCACTTCAGGGGGTCTCATGTCCTCTTCTGACTTCCACAGGCACAGCACTCATATGAACATACTTCTCCTCCATCAGCTACACACAGACACATACTGAAAAATAATATAAGGGCTGGAGAGATGGTTCAGTGGTTAAGAGCACTGGCTGCTGTTCCATGGTGGCTCACAGCCATTTATAATGAGATCTGGAGCCCTCTTCTGGCATGCAGCTAGAACACTGTATACATAATAAATAAATAAATGTTAAAAAAAAAAAAGTAGGAAAAGAAAGAAGGGGGTGATGGAGGAGGATGGTCCAACAGTGAAAAGTGTTTGCCACTGAGTGTGATGACCTGATCCTTAGGACCCACATGATGGATGGGCAGAATGTATTCTTGCAAGTTGTTCCCTTCTTCATGCACCATTGTGATTCGTATGTACACACACATACACACAAATAATAATTTAAAAATGTGTTAATAGTATTATACTCTAAATTTTTACTTAAGTATACCTTCTATAGATAAATGTTTAATGAATTTAATTTTATTTCAGAACCTTGCAAGGAAACCAGATTAAGTCAATTACACAGAAAGCATTCATTGGTCTTGAATCCCTTGAGTATTTGTAAGTATTTCATATATAGTTACTTACTGTATAATCTTTGTGTTGGGTGTGATGGTGCCTGCCTTTAATCGCAGTCTTTAGGAAGCAGAGACAGGCAAATCTTCCTGAATTACAGGCCAGCCTAGTCTATATAGCAAGTTTTAAGCCAGATAGTGTTGCATACTGAGACTGCCTCACAAAACAACCTTTGTTGTCAATGGGAGGTGTTCATGGGCATTTATGTAGCTTCACTGTAGAAATGGTTACTGAGGTTGCATTTTCTCTTGTTTTCAGAGATTTGAACAACAATGCTATAACGTCTATCCAAGAAAATGCTTTTTCTCAGACTCACTTAAAGGAACTGTAAGTAATTTTTTTCTCTTTTAATTGTTAGTGCTTATTATATGTAAAGTATACCATTTTTGTGCCTGGTGCAGATAGAAGGCCAGGGGAGGTCATCGGGTCCTCTGGAACTGGAGTTACAGATGATTGTGAACCACCATGTGGGTGATAGAAATTGAACCTGGGTCTTTGGGAAGAGCAGACAGTCTTCTTTTTTTGAGACAGGGCCTCAAAATCACCAAGATCCACCTGCCTCTGTCTCTCAAGTGCTGGGATTAAAGGGGTGCATCACCACTGTCCGGCTGCAGTGTTCTTAATCACTGAGCCATCTCTCCAGCCCCTCATTATCTATAAAGAAAAGGTGACTCATATGTTTTCAGAAGCCTATGACTTAAGCAAGAGATATAGAAGCGTTAACACTGAGTTGCTTCAGTGGTGGTGTCATTTAGAGATACCCAGCACTGAACAGTCAGGAGTGTGTGCTACCACCTGTGTGCTGCTGTGCTCACAAGTGGGATCCTTAGCTCCACTCCTGGGCTCCAATGTGTACTTTACTTTCTGGACTATCAGAAATGTGTCTGTAGTTCTTACCCCAGGATTGGGTTAAGGTGGGTAGCAGTTGATTTTGTTCTTTTACTTTGTGAAATTAATCCAGGATTTTGTGTTATTAATTTCAGTGTATTTAAACTACTAAAATGGTCAAAAACTTTAAATGCTAAAATAGAAAAAGATAGTGTTTTATATTTTTTACACATATAATTTTTAAAGTAAATTTTTAAATGGGTATGGTGTTTTGCCTACATGTATGTCTGTGTACTATGTATGTGTCTGGTGCCTGTGGAGTCCAGAAAAGGGTGTCAGATCCTCTGGAATTGATGTTACAGACAGTTGTGAGCAGCCATGTGGGTGCTGGGGAACTGAACCCAGGTCCTGAAAAAGCAGTGCTTTTAACCACTGAGCTATTTCTCCAGCACCTTCTGTATAATTTTTAAAAATTGCCTTTTTAAAAAAATTATGTGTATGTGTCTGAGTGTATGTAAGTGTACTACATGCATGCCTGATTTCATGGAGGTCAGAAGAAGGCATCAGATCCCCTGGAACTGGAGGTACAGGTGGCTGTGGTATGCCTTGGGGGTGCTGGGCAACAAGTTCAGGTCCTCTGTAAGAGTGGTAAGAGTTCTTAACTGCCAAGTCATCTCTCTAGTCCCTAAAATTGGTTTTATTAGTTTAGAGAATTTTCTGAGTGAAGGGAGTTAGCTAGGAAACATTATTAATTTAAACTGTGGTGTTGGAAATCAGTATTTTAAATGCTGTGGGTAGGGGCTACTCAAAGGGCATTAGTAGAATCAGTTCACGACAAGACAGTGATAAAAATGAAGAGAAAGTTTGTAGGAATTTTTACAACAATTTGATATTATTATGACTTTTGTAGTAGTTTACAGAAGTCTTAGTTTTAGGACAGTGACATAGTTCAATGAATAATGGTGTCTGCCTTCAAGCCTCACAATCTTGAGTTTGGTACCAGAACCCACATGATGGAAGATCTGACTCCTACAAATTGTCCTCTTGACTTCTACATAAGTGCATGGCATGTAGCCAGGCATGATAGCAAAGGTTTTTAATCCCAGCACTGAGGAGGCAGAGGCAGGTGGATCTTTATGAGTTCCACACGAGTCTGGTCTACATAGTGAGTTTCAGGACAGTCAGGATTATGTAGAGACCCCTGTCGTCTGGTCTCCCCCTACAAAGAGCATGGTGTGTATATGCTATCCTGTCCCCACACACATCTGTGTACACATATATGTTAAATAAAAATCTAAACAAATTTATTTTAAAGTCCTGATTCCTAATAGTTTGGAAAATTTAAAAACTGTTTCTTACTACAGATTGAGATATACTCTGTTCCTTAAAACTTGTAACAGTAGACAAATTGCTTAGCTGGAAACTCAGTGTTCTCTCAGAATGGGAGTAGTGGGTCTCTAGGATTATGTGAAGTTACAGTGAAATAATTTGTTTACAAAGATCATTCATCATCCATTGTGTACTGTATTGGATCATGGTCTCTTTTTAAATTATTTATTTTTATTTATTGTGCATTGGTGTTTTGCTGGCACGTATGTCTGTGTGAGGGTGCCTGATCCCCTGGAACCAGAGTTACAGATAGTTATAAGCTGCCATGTGAGTGCTGGGAATTGAACCTGGGTCCCCTGGAAGAGCAGCCAGTACTCTTAACCCCTGAGCCATTTCTCCAGCCCCCATGGTCTCTGTTCATACCTCATTGTATCAAGGAAGATAAAGAATTAAAACAGTAAGGGTTAGGAATGTAGCTTGGTTGGTAAGGTGCTTGCCCAGCATGTACAAGGTCCTGAGTTTATTCCCCAGCACTCCAAAACAGTGATAACAAAAATAGAATAAAATATGTTTTAAACAAAGAATAAATAGGTGTAGAATATCTTATAGAGTAGTAAATTTTCTGAAGAAAGAAAATATGTCAGATAGTAAAGTGACAGGGATTGTTGTTTTAAACTGGTAAGGATAGACTGGGAAGTATAGCATACTGAAAAAGGCTTTCTCTGTCTGTTTTTTTTTTTGTTTTTTTTTTTTTTTTTTTTTTTTTTTGTTTTTTTTTTTTTTTTTTGTTTTGAGACAGGGTTGTCTTGGAACTCACTGTGTAGATCAGGCCAGTGTGGGATTCATAGGGATCCTATTGCCTCTTCTTCCCCAGTGCTGGGATTAGAGGTGTGTGCAACCATGCCCAGCTTTGAACAAGGATTTTCATGAAATGAGGTGACACACATGTGAATATTGAGTGGAACTGTCTAGGTAGGAAAGATCAAGTGAGTTGAGGTCAGACAGTTCTGTATCATGTCAGGTTTGTAAAACAAGAGGAATTTGTTACAGTCTCTTCCTCCATCCCCCACCCCCAAATTAGGAAATATTGGAGGATTTTGAGAGACTGCAGAGCACTGAGCCAGGCACATAGTAAAAAATCAAATGACTAATATCAACAACAAAAATCAAAATACTATGAAAACCTGAACTATGGATGTGAGTAGTTGGTAAAATACTTGCCCAGCATGTATGTAACTCTGGGTTATATAGTTCCCTTGCATTATATTAACCAGGTGTGTGATACATGCCTGTAATCCCAACACTCAAGATACGGAGGCAGGAGGATTAGAAGTTTAAAATCATCCTCAACTATCTATCAAGTGTCAGCCTGGGATACATAAGACCCTGCCTCAAAACTCTTTGGAAAATGATTATTAATTATTTTTTTGCTATGTCATAAAAATTGGAGAGATCTTGTAGATAATTGGATTTATTTCTAGGTTTAGCTAATTTGTAAGGATTCAGTTTAACTGCAAATCAGTTTATCTTTTTTCTTTCAGCATAATTTGAGGGTCAGCAAGAAGAGAGCCTAGTTTAACATATGCTTTGGATAGTAGGCAGTTTAGTTTTAATACAGAGTTTCAGTAGGGAGGTGGTGAACAGGTGACAAGTATGAATTAACTTCAGTCAGGCTCCTGACTCTTCTAGGCCTGTCTGTGTACTTTTTTGGGGGTAGAGTGGGGTGGGGATAGGGTCTCACAGAGCTCAGCCTGCCTCTGCTTCGTGAGTACTGGGATTAAAGTCATATAGCACTATGACCCGGTCTGTCTAGTATTTTCTGTTATATTTAAAACCTTGCTGAGTCTAAAAGTTAAGCAAGGGGTTTCCCATGCTCATTCTGGGTATCCTTAGATAACTGATTGTGTTTTTCTTCTGTACCATTCCCCAGGTAATGTTTGGTCACTTTGGCCTGCCTTTAAGCAAGAATCTTTCTAGGGTGTTTTAAGGAGAATTCTCCTTAGTTCTGGGGTTATTGCTTAGTAATGTGCCACCTGCTGATTCCCACCTTCTTTTTCTTTGGCTAAAAATTCCATTTGCTGTTGGCTTTAATTGGAATTGAGCCCAGCTTCTTTCCTATGTTGTAAAATCTCATTGCAGTGATATCTGTGCCTGTGAGATGGTCTTAAATACACTCTGCCTCATGATGCTTTAACAAGTATCATTGAGTAACTTTTTCTTTTTTTTTTAAAGGTTTATTTATTTATTATGTGTACAGTGTTCTGTCTGCATGTTGCCTGTAGGTCAGAGGAGGGCACCAGATCTCATTACAGATGGTTGTGAGCCACCATGTGGTTGCTGGGAATTGAACTCAGGACCTTTGGAAGAACAAGCAGTGCTCTTAATCACTGAGCCATCTCTCCAGCCCTCAGTAACTTTTTCTTTAACAGTTATGGTATTGCAGCACGGATATGATCAGATTGATCACTGGACCTCTCACCCAGGACTCCCAAAAGTGTACTTCCAAATGTACACTTTTGAAACCTTTGTCTTTATTCCTGACTGACTGATTGGGGATCCAATGGTGAGTCAGGCTAGTGAACCATTGCTTTGGACAAACATCCATTGGAGCTGGGAAGGAAAGATTCTGATTGTTCAGATTCCAAGTGCAGTTTCTAAAGCTGGGGCCAAGTGCACCATTCTTAAGGAGGCACCTGCTCTGCTGGAGGTCTTCCTGGGCCTCTTTCCTGAGTGGAGATTGTTTCCTGACTCCCTGGTAGAGATATTCTTTGTACTCTGTAGATTCATTCTGTTTTTTTGATTGGATTCTGCTTCTCCTACAGAAACTTTTCTGTCCTATGGAAACCCTGGCAATAACATGTTCTGCTAACTTTGCCCACTTCCTTAATTAGTGGAACTTTATTGTTCTCTTTTGGGGAACTTAAGGGCTCACTGTACTGTTTCCCCATAAGATAACTACCTTCACATTGCTGTTTCTCTTTTTCCTCTTAACCACTAGTTCCCTTGAATCTTTTGATATGTCTTTCTTTTTTTTTTTTTTAAAGATTTTATTTATTTATTTATTTATTTATGTATACAACATTCTGTTTCCATGTATATCTGCACACCAGACGAGGGCACTAGATCTCATTACAGATGGTTGTGAGCCACTATGTGGTTGCTGGGAATTG